TATATATAATTTATATAGCTCCTTGTTTTTTCTAACAATATTATATTACTTGCTATAATAATCGTTACGTGAGAAGCGTAAAGTTGCAAAATTCAGCCTTTGCTAGTTTTTTACTTGTTTACTCTCCGTGATATCTATCTGTGTGCATAAAATACATAATATTTATAATATTTACAATAGATAGAGCTACATACGATTTCAAACTTGTATATATACTTATACAAGAGGACTTATACTTGTGTAACAGATGCATAAATATTTATAACGCTAGTTACGTATTATGAATATGAATTTTGTCAACACTCCTCCTCCTTTTTCTCTTACACTTTTTCTAATAGATGATCAAAGTTAACAATAAGATAAATAAATTGTTAAGATAACAAAAGATGAATACATTGCAAAAGTAATGAATCGCGGACGTAATGAAGTAATCTATAATATACATACAATATCTATCTATTTAACTATATACACAAGTATATAACAATATTTACTAGCTCGATGAATGTAACTATTTATAAATAACGAACATAAATAACGCATATCATTCTTGTATACACATATACATATATGTATGCTGCGATTATTGTCGAAATTCGTTTTCGTGTAAAAAGCGACGCTCCTACTGATACACACGTACCTTGTAATTGGAGGTATAATAATAATTGAGTTCATCATAACAACGTATGAATACGTATATATATATATATGCGTGTATGTGTGTGTGTGTGTGTGTGGGTGTGTGTATGTATGTATGTTCAGACAAATACTCTCAACGGAAATCAAGCATCGGGAAGAAAAAGAAAAAGAAAAAGAAAAAAGAAGAAAAAAAGAAAGAAGAAAAAAGAAAAGAAAAAAAGCACGTAAAAATTTAAGCTGATATAAGAATCATCTATTAGATCTTATATCCTGATTTTCCTTGTTTGCTTTTTAGAATTTTTTGATTAACTCGTTGCGACAGAATATTTATATATGTATTCTCTTAAAGTTTGTATATTTATCAAATTACCAAGAGGATATATATATATATATATGACAGATCTTATATCCTGATTTTCCTTGTTTGCTTTTTAGAATTTTTTGATTAACTCGTTGCGACAGAATATTTATATATGTATTCTCTTAAAGTTTGTATATTTATCAAATTACCAAGAGGATATATATATATATATATATATATATATGACTATATGTATGTATATATCATCAGTTTTCAGCTTATGTGGGCACAAGACGTTAACACATATAGATGATGGAGTCAAAGCCATAATCAAGAATGTATATATAAGCCAACATGTGTATGAATATACTATAATACACATTCATACATCTAGAGAGTCGCTAAATGGCAGTAAGAAATAAAATAATCGATAGATATGGCAACTGGTTTTGTTTTCTTTTCGTTTTTTGTTTGTTTCTTTCGTTTTTAAGCACCGGCGAAACCATATACCTCGAGTACCCTGATCTCGAAATCACCGCTAGCACATAAAGGTGGATTATTAAATGTTGAGCACCTATCGGTTTTACCAAATCTTATGTTTTCATCCATCCAAATAGCTTGACCTTCCCTAGACACCAAATTTATGATACAAAATTATAAGTACATTTAACTGAAATATTATTTTTCAATGTTAACACGTTGAAGTTTAAACTTACCCTCCACCAATTGTTATCATTTTCGAATCAGCTGCCATAAATAATTCAGCCGAATGATGTACTCTAGTATCATTGTGAGAAGAATCCATGCCTACCCATGGATATTTTGCTCTTTCTGGATACAAACTAAACAGGAATGTTTCTCCTGTACCAAAATATGCTTGTCTTTGACCTTTATCATCCTTTAAATTACGTTCACACCATCTTGTCGAGCAATATGCTCCAAAAACCTTTGAAAAAATAACACACACACACACACATATATACATATACATATACATATATATATATATATATATATATAATAAAATGGATGAAGTAATTGTAATTATTTCATTATGTAAAGGACATATTTACCTCGTTATTACATGTCTTTATCATTAAAAGAGTTGGTTCGTGTTGTTCAACGCGTACATAAAATGTCGTCAAAGAACATCCATGTTCTTCGGTTGTATACAGCAAAATTGGTTGGTACATAGTTATCCTCATAGGTAGCCATGACCATAAGGTGAATAACTGTATAAAAAATAAATAAATAAATTGAATTAATAGACATATCTATTAAATGGTTTGGTGCAATTTTGATAAATATGCAAACATTAATCGTTTTTAGCAATTTATTGGATTTTTCAAAAGCAAAGTAAATCACAATAACGCGTGGTGAGACAGATCATGCACTCAATCGAACCAAATCTTACTTATTTTCAACTCTAATCTACTTAATGATGCAAATTTCATTGATAATTAAACGTTTGGGCATAAATTTAAATGAAAAAAGTATACAAAGTAAAATATGATATAAGAAATGTTTGCACAGTAATGATATTAAATCAAATAATTGTAATAATACGTCGTATAAACAGGCAAGGGAGAAGAATGTGTAATACTCGCACTAAATAAAAAGAACACCTATGTATAATGTGCATCAAACAGGACGATATTTTATTTAGTCAATCATAGATTGGAACGATTGTTAAAATTCAATATGAAATGTTTGGGATTTGAAAAAATATATGAAAAGTTATGTGAATGTAAGATTTGTTTAATTTCACATGCATACGATGATAGGTTTCTAGGTATACTAGTCAAACCTACATGAAGTTTACTAAATGCACAATGACATTCTGAAGAAGAGCGAAATAAATTTATGTCTGTTGATGGTAGAATGTATTGCAGACTCATGGAAGAAATATACTGCAAACTGAAAAATTGATGTGGACACATTTTTATACATTGTCAAATAAATGAAGAAGAAATCTACATTTAATAATTCCGATGGAACGGAATATAAAATCAAAGAATAAAATAAAACAATGTAAATTAATTATAGACAAATATATAGCGTAACAATAATAATAATAATAATAATAATGTCTATAAGCTTAATTAAGTATCCATAATTAGTTTGATCTATCGTGGTTGATCTAGAATATATATTTTGCAAGAATGTATATACATCAATAACGACGATATACCGACATGCCACAGAAAATCGACGAACGATCTACGAAAGCGCTCTGCCTTTCCAGAATTTGCTTTTTTTTTTTTTTGTTTGTTTGTTTTTTTTTTCATTTTTTACGAGAACAAACGTACAGGAATACTTACATCAGGCATGTCAAGAATCTGGGAGCATATGTTTTGTATGGGATAAACACCCATTGAGAGAGCTCTAGGTCCAGGACTGTGAGCACCCTATACCCATCACCATTAAATCCATCATTCCAGTAACGCAGCATGACACAAAGCAACACAGGAGTCGTCAGTTACATTATTGTATACTTTAGACTCAATTTTGTGTGCCAGTGTGCGTGTGCATAATAAAAGTTTTCTATGCATATGTATACCACCATCACCATATGCATATGTACGCGCGCGTCGTAAAATATGAGCAACAACAGCCAATGATATTTTCAAATTACTCAAGTTAAATTATATAGCATAATCAAAATGGGTATTTGCCACAGAAGATAATAAATGTAGCAAGAAAGTGTGAATATCGCTAAGAGAGATGTAGATTAAGATAAATCTTAAAAGGAGAAGAGAAAGTATGAGTAACATGTGTGTCAAGTAGTCAAGTAGTTGTTGTCAATTTCCATTTGCATCAAATATTTATTAATTTTGTGACCACATCATCATAGAGGGCGGCTTCTTGATCTAATGTATATTACATTCTCAGTATAAATGAAATAGTTTGGACCTATAAAAATTGATTTTGTGTACCTGAAGTAGTCACACATTAGATTTTTCTATCAGGCAATAACAAGCACACATGGATCGCTAACAGGCGCTATCTAGATACACCTTTAGAAGAAGAAAAAGAGCGAAAAAAAGGATCCGAAGATAGAAATAGAAATAAATTTCCTATTTCAACAAATACAAAGTCAATGGTATTGTCAATATGTGTCAAGAATTCACCGATAATCCAGTGATATATATTCATATACATATGATGTATGTATTGTAAGTATGTATATTGTCATTATTGCACGTGAATTCTTATTAATGATCGTATTAATCTTTGAAAAAAAGTAGTAGCTGTGAGTGGATAATGGCGGAGAAGCTAGCACAATGAGTGGAACAATGAGTGAGTATGATTATAACAGGTAGTAGTTCAGGAACAGAGCGTAGAACACATGAAACTAACAACACATTTCCCAAAAAGATAATTATACGATACCCTGTCTTTGTACGTGTCTTCGCACTCTTTCTGAAAACAAATTTAATCATTGAAAGATTTGTGCAATTTTTAACAAAGCAAACCCTACGAAATTACTTTCTAAATATTTTGCCTGCTATTGAAACTTTAATCCATGAGGAAATAGACATCATCAAATCAATAGCCAAAAAAGAAAGAAGTTGTTGCTTTTTAATCGACCAAAATATACTTACTACTTACTACTTCAATCAGAAAAAAAGTAAAATAAAATAGGAAAATGCGTAGTAAAGTTATGCATGCTTAGGTGGACACAAGTCATCATAATTGTGTAAGTAGTTTTTTTCTCTTTTTTTCTCTTTTTTTCTTTTTTTTTCTTTTTTTTCATAATATTTTCCTTGCATCTGAAATTGTCGTCTAGTTAAAATAATAGAAAAAATAAAATAGAAATTCGTAGAAATTGATAGAAATTCATAGAATAAATATGTATAATATGCTTGTTAATTTTTAACTGAGAGTGTGAAAGATCGATATACGAAAATAAGGAATAGCGTTCATTAATTATGTGTACTTGCAATATTTAACGGAATATAATGTTACTAAAGCTTTCACGAACACAAACACATAGAATATAATATGTATAATAATCTACTATTTTCTTGATTCCACGTGATCCACGCTGCAGCATTATTTTGCATACATATTTGGATTCATCCCAAATGAGAATAATAAAATAACATGTATGTAACATACTTCTCTTATTGTCAATGTATGAGACATCATTTGGATGTTGACTTGAGATTGACTTGTAGGCAGGTTATCCGTAGAACGTGATCTCGTTAATGTCTTCGAGCCTGTTAATAAGTTTCTACTTTTCAAAGCCATTTCTGTACGCAAGAACACTCGTGATATGTATGCCGAACTAAGTCCACGAATTCCAAATGCAGTTCGTAAGAATTTAGCCGGCGTTACCTGTGTGTAAATGAAGAAATATTTGTATTTTTATCGACAAAATCAAATGTATTATATATTACCAAAAGAATAATATTCATTTACTTACTGGTATTTGTATGCAAAATTTGGAAAGAGCAGCATCGACGCCTTTGTTAGTTATTTCAAGCATCCATTCCGAATTTTGTGACGACGAATGTTTGTAAAATAATAGGACAATTGCCATAGCTACTCGATAGAATACCTAATGACAAATACAATTTCTTCAATATATCCAAGAAAAACATTTCAATATTAACAGATAAAAAAAAAAAAATATCAAAGTATATATCTTTGGAAAATTTGTCCTTTAAATATACATGGTAGATAGACCACACACACGCACGCACACACACACATAGCAGTTAGCAGTAGTTGTTTTCAAGCAAAATACGGCATAGATGTATAGTTAGTTATAAGTGTAAAATCTTAAAGATGGTTTAGTCAGTACACAAAAATGTTCTTGGGGCGGCGGTTTCCTGTTGGCACCAAGTCAATCGTCAAATTTAACATTCATGCTACTAGAATATATACACATCATTTATTTCATCTTTATCTACCATCTGGATCAAAGCCATAAAATCTTACTAATGTGAGAGAAAATACTGAGAAGGTTTTATATACTGTTTTGAAAACACGTATCATGAGATAAATATGCATATTGACCATATATCCATTGGTGTATAATATAACTTTGTTCAAAATTGTATTTGAAAATTGCATTTCAAAATTGTATTTCACCTTAATGCCTTCGTGTAAGAAACAGTCTATTACTCTAACAAGATGTTGAAATGGAAGAAGTTGAAGAATCCACCAAATCCAATCCATATAAATTCTTTCTGCCCTTTGGCCAGAACAATGCCTCGCTAAATGTACTGCTGCTGATTTCTTTCAATAAAAACATACATTTTCAATAATTTTATATATATATGTATATACAGCAGTTATATATTAATATTTAATCATTATTCTTACTTACAACGTGTTTTTTAGTTATTTGCTCTACAGTTTTCCATGTAACTTCGTAGAGAAGCTTAGTTTGCGTAATAAACATTTTTTCTTTGACAGCTACTAAACTGGCCATACAGTGATAACATTCTTCTTCTATTTCAAAGAAATATAAAATACACATTTATTATACAATTAATGTATAACTCAACCATTAGTGTGGATTCCAACTGCACCTTTCTCTACGAAGGTGTGCACACTAAGGGTTATTAATACAAAGCTAAGATATTATTACTACTATTATTATTATTATTATTATTAATAAGATTATAAACCTGGCATAAAGTGTAATAGAAGAGCAGTAATAGGATATAACGATGGACTATAAGTAATATCAGGACAAGCATATCCCAGAACAGAAACAACTCGGTCAGCAACGCTTCTACCTTTTCTCGTTAAATTATACGATAGACAATGCGTGCTATCGACGAATGGCGGTAACATGATTGACTTTTCAGGTAACTCTAAAAAAAAAAAAAAAAAAAAAGAACAGAAATATAATATAAGAAAACGTAGTGATATATACATGTGCTTGGAATGAAAGTTTTCATAGGAAAATACAAACCTGTAGTTCCAAAGACTTGATTCACCATATCCCAGTAAAATCCATCCAGCATATTTTTTCCATGAGCATACTGATTGCAAAGAGCTGGCCAAAGTTGTGCCCTAATACCGTTGTTTAAGGGCCAAGCGTTCTCCCTTATAATTAACTTTACTTCCCTCTTCTTGGATGCTTGTAAAAGTGCATTGATCTCTTTGAAGGTTTTCAATGGTTGCTTCTTACTCGTTGGCGATTCTGGTTGTATTACGATATTCGTAGTGTCGACATGCGGTGGGAAAATGTCATCCACGTCGTTCTGCGCCTCCCCCTCGAGAACCGACGACAACATATTCGGTGGATTGTCCATCGAGGAGGGAGTCTGCGTGACTAACATCACACACCTGCCACTACGGCAGAAGATTTTCCATATTTTCAATAAACAGCATTCTTTTTATAGGACATCTATCCTTTATGTCAAATCCTGGGACGTTTCAATTTTCATCTGGAAATAATAATTATTAATATAATAGGAACTCGAAAGTCTCGCTGCCATAAAAGACTACCACTACCACCACCACCACCCCTCCTTAGATAGGTATAGTAGGATGATCGTTTTGTATACACTTAAAGAGCAGAGCACCCAAGAGCTCAGTAGTTTATTGACCTCTCTTTACTTTTTTGTTACTTTTCTTTCCTAATTATTCGCTCAATTCTTTTTCTACATACAAGATCGAATATATATATATATATATATATATATANTATATATATATATATATATATATATATATATATATATATATTTTATAAATCTTGCCTACTCTCTTGATATAAATTAATCTTATAAGGTATCACAACAACAACTTGATGAAACATGTATGGATGAAACATCGAAATTATCAGTTTCCTAGATTTATACATGTGTGTTGGTTATCAATAAATAGAATGCTAAGCGTCGACCTGCTAACCGATGATTCTTAAGAAAATAATGTATAATGTTTAAGATAATAAATGTACTTTACGATAGAGAAGAAAGACAATCGTAAAATCAACATCGATGTCAGTTTTAATCATTGTCGCCGTTGTCGTTGCTTTGTGTTATAGTTAAGAAAAAACGACAATATATAATATATAATAACCTTGGATAAACGTTATGGAGAATAATGATAATGATGAGTTAGATTTGTTGAGAGTGCGGTTAGAATTTTAATTGTTTGTTGATCTTTAAAACAATCTAAAGGATCGTTGAAATGATCATCAATTCTTGCCTTGTCTTTTATTAATGTTATAATGATGAAATAAAATAATGATAATTGAATTATTGTCATTAGAATAAGATGTTATTTTTTTCGTAGATCATCATACTTGTTGTACTGGTGACCCCATTCAGGCATATGTTCCAGGCACGCGTCCTACTCAAACACAGCTCCGATTCTAATTTTATCTTCGAACGAGTTATTCGTTCGTTCGGGGCCTCGCAAAAGATACGACGACACATTTGTGTCCATTTGTGGTTTCTGCTCGGATTCAAATTTGAATATTTCTAATTCAATCTCACGAATATGCTCATTCTTTTCATTAGAATATAAAAAGAACTGACGTATAATGTTTGCTTTTGTCAATTGAAAAATAACTTGATATTCCGAATAATTTGTTTGACTCGGCTCAATTATGATTAATATAGATCTTTTTTGCTTTTCTCTCTCTCTCTGTGTGTGTGTGTGTGTGTGGTGTGTCAATTACATTCCATTTTACATCGATGTAAAATTATTTGAAAAAAAATAGAAATTCTTTAGTGAAAGCAAAGTTATCTTCCAACAGACAATATTTCTGGAGTAAAATTAAGACGCAATAAACAGATCCTGATGGATTGGAACTCTTATTAGTAATGTACCAACCAGATGGTTTAATATTATTGGCATAAACAGCAGCGATGTATCCGCATTACACGTCTCAGCTGTTCAAACGAACTTGTTTCTTTCTCTCTCGTAATATCGAATACGATGACCCGTCGTTTGTTTTACACTCATAAATGATTTGATATGACCCATATAAAAAAGAAATTCTCTCATATTTAGTCTAGATAACTACGTACTATTAGTCATGTCATTTGACAAACAAATTATCTCAATTTTAGATTAAGGTACAATGAAATCTAATTAAAATTCGGATTCTGTGTTGATTTTGACAAAAAAAAAAAAAAAAAGAAAAAAAATGATTATTTAAAAAATCACGTTGAAATAATTCTATCGACACATAGGAACTTTGAATATTCTTATGTTAAACTCCATTATCAATTCTAATTAGAATCTTGGTGAATAATACGTGCATAAATAAGATACGTTTGATTTGTTTCTTAGCACGTTTGCATTTTGTTCGCATGTTAATAAATGCGATTATAATATTGGCGATAACATCTGTAAAATTAGATTTTCTGTTTATCGATACGGATCATCTTCTTGGAGAATTCATATCAACGAAGATTGTTAATTAAACGTTAAGATATTAACGTTGATTTATTATTTAGATATAGGTAGGTAGTAAGATATGATCATTATCAAAACTATAAATAGAAAAATAAATAAAATTATTCGAACAGTAATATGCGGCAAACCATGAAAAACCATGATGATCTATACTTTTCTGGTTTTTTTTCTGTTTTTTTTTTTTTTCAATCCTTCATTGAACGTGGGATAGAAGATAACTAACTATGGACAATGTTGCCGTGTGAGCAATGAAGATGATTTTCCAAGTTGTTTAAAATTATGCAGAAATGAGTGTTAGCTAGATTCATTGTATAAAGTGGTGGCAAATGTCTAAGGTCAATCAGAAACCATGTCGCCTACGCGAAAATGGGGATAAGCGAACCAAAGTCAATGGTTCGGCGTAAAAATAATTCACGTCATACAATAAAGGGAAGAAAATAAAATGGAGGATGACTTTTTCTATCAACGCGATTATAAAATATGCTTAAAAACAAAAAATCTCCAAAATTTGGCTGTTAACGTTTTTGTAAATTATTTGTAAATTAAAGAATTACAAAGCGCAAACTATATTAAAAGCGCATATGAATTTAGATGAGAATTCGCTTCGTACATTTATCGAACGTTGATTAGATAAACACACCCTCTTGTTACAGGTTAGCTACCTGTTCTGTCATTACACTAATAAGGTATTATGACAATCAAAGATTGTTATGAAAATCTAATCTCTGTACTGATCGCAATTACGATTAACAATACGATTGTTGTATTGTTTCCTTTTTCTTGGATTTATTTAGTTAAACAAATAACTTGTTTCGTTTGTAGACAAATAATATAATTGTATTTTATTGAAAAGGTGAAAAATAACATGTCCAATTACTTTCCTCTTTCTCTGTCTCTCTGTCTCTCTGTCTCTGTGTCTCTCTTTGAACGAATAGTTTTATCTATGTACAAAAGTCCCTGAAACGAGAACTGCCTACTTCCGAGTAATGAAACCCAATGCGGTAATCATCGTGATTTAACGATAGCAAGTGCTACCGGCTGATACGTTAGGGTCGGTTAAAGGATCTCTCACGTATTATTTTTATTTGTACGATAGATCTCGTTTAAACTAAGATCGATTATAGTCATCATAACAATAACAGTAACAAAAGATTTACCCTTTCCTCTTTCGTCTTCAATTGAATTATTATTCAAAAGGATTTTCATTAATCCGTTACTATTACAATTTATACTAATATTATTAGACGTTCAATCAATGGGGAAGCAGCATTTCTTACAATATATTTCTTTGACAATGTTTTAATATTTGTTAAACGTAATTGTGTATGCAATTGCAAAAATCTTGATTTTATTTCGGTATCAAGTAAATACTACTTTGCAAATTATAAATAAAATCGATTGTAATCTCCTGGCAAGCTTGTCCAATGTAAATTTCTGTCCTTTTCATACTTGATCATATATAAATACTACTTTGAAAATTATAAATAAAATTCGATTGTAGTCTCTCTCTCTCTCTCTCTCTCTCTCTCCCTCTCACACTCCTGGCAAACTTCTTATTTCAATTTATATCCTTTTTATGCTTCGTCGTAAAAAATATTACCTGTACTTAGAAAAATGATAAATAATATTTACATTATTTACATTGTAATCATTTGGTTGGTAAACTATTTTAGATGCAAATTTTGCTCACCCGTTGTTACGACATAACATTTGATATATATTTTATTTATTATATTACACACGAAATTAGTTTATATTTAATATATAATATAGACGATTAGACGAAAAGACTGTCGTCGTCGTCGTCGTCGTCGTCTTAATATATATCCTACATTTACTCGTAGAAAATAAATAGATCCTTGTATTTGTGAATGGTCTTTCGTACTTCATTACAAAAGGTGTCTGATATAATTGACAGCTTCATTGGCGCACTTTTCAGCTCCATTAACGAGGCTTCTTCGTGCTAGCACAAGCCTGTTTTGGCTGAAACTTTACGCAACAGCTACTCGCCGCATTGACGCGCTACATCACAACAACAAAGTCTATAACATGATATATATATATATGTACAAAAACTACCACCAAACAAACATGCATCAATTGAAAATTTCTTAACTATTTCTTACAAATTTATTCAAAGAGTGATACGTTTTAACGTTACAGTAGACAATAAATTTAACCTTCCAATGAGAGAGAGAGAGAGATAATCATTTTAGTCCGATGCGTCGAATGCGTTCCAAGTTTAATCGTAGCACGAGAATGACAGTGATAGCAAGATCAGCAATAACAATAGTAATAATAATAGTAGTAAGCAATAACAGCAGAAAGAGTCGCAGTTTTAGCTACAGCAGTAGCAACAACAGCTGTAATCTCAAAATGCATGTTCTCAAGTGGATCGGCCTGGATATTAAAAACGTTTATCGGACGATCGTAAATCACACATATTTCCTTGTGGGAACGTTGTACAACATCATCCTCTTATGTCTAACCATACATAAATACACACAAGTTTCATTATTTTCCTATTTCTTTATTTCAACAAAAATATATAGACATCGTCATTTTTCAAGCATCACTTGAAAGTAACGTGAAAATTGGATTAGGGCGGATCCTGAGATCTTCTGGGGCGGTTCAAGAGAATCGAACAGTACACACACACATCACACAAACAAATACACACACACACACAGTACGTAACAATCTCTCTCTTTCTCTCGTACATCTCCCTTCTGCGTCTTTCGTACTACCTTTTCTCTCTCCGATCAATATTAATGCGAGCTTACGAATTTCCCTAGAAACTGGGAGAGACCCATTTTTCCGGCATTTAAAAGAAAAATAAAATGTTGCCACGCGCGTGTGTGCGTGCTTTAAGAGAATATAACCAATCTTCGTTTATGGTACTTGTCTCTAGAATGAATAAGATAAAGAGAGAGAGAGAGAGAGAGAGAGCGAGAGCGAGAGCGAGAGAGAGACAAAGGAACGAATGGAAGAGAGAGAAAAACAGTGCAAGGTAAAAAAGAGTAGTAATAATAATAATAATAATAATAATAATAATAATAAGATAATCGAACGTTTACCTCCGGTGCGACGATGTCGACGGTTTCTTTGAAACGAATCAGCTGTAGGTTTGTAGGAAAAGGCAAATAAACGACGAGGAAAACTCTGTATTTCACTTTGCCGAACGACGACATGCGAGAACATCGAATTGCCGATGACCGGTCTTATTCTCGCGGTATGTCATTGACAACAAAGTCTAGGAAGAAGGTAAATTTTCGGCACCAGATTATTTAACCAATCACCACCAAAAGAAAAACACTACTAGATAGGAAAGCCGGTTTTTCTTTTTTTTTTTTTTTACAATTCTTCTTCTTTCTTATTTTTTCTTTTTTTTTTTTTTGCTACTACCCTGCTCTTCTTATCGTCAATCTTCCATCACATAATATATGTATATATATGTATATATATGTCTCTATGCATAAACATGTATATATATGCATTCCCTTGTATGCACTTTAGACAGGGTGAAGATTCTATCTTTGTATATAATTGGCACTGGCACCACTCTTTCTCGTTCCTTTAAACGCACGAATTATATTTGTATATATATATACTATATAAAGAGAGAGAGAGAGAAAGAGAAGTGTCGTCTAATATTTGAAAAAAAACGACGATTCCGTTTCCTTTCATATGATGATAACCAACTTCACACACTACGAATTTGAATTTTGTCGAGTTAATAAATGTATAGGATTATTGATAGCGTATTAAATACACTTCTAAACCAACAAGAGGCGGAAGAATGAAATAATCATGACAGTTGAAACGCGATTGCTTCATTCCGCATGCTCTCTTTTTCTCTTCGTCTACGAACACCCATCTATCGCGTTATTCTACGAGCTACTGCACCAAGTACTCCCTTCTCCTTCTCTCTTTACATTTTCTATCTCTTTCCATACTGCCATCTACCGTTACTGCACGAAACTTATGAGTGGTGGGGAGTGTTCGTTTCCCATTGAAAAATATCAAAATAATGTGTATACTTATATTTGTTCGATTTCCAAAAGAATTATTCTCTTTTAAATGAATGTTACTTTATAAATATCATTTCTTCGAATGGACATTCATTATTTCATGTTTTTTTTTAATATCTTTTCAAGCTACACTTACGTAATCGTTTAAAATAGTCATATCAATTGTCGAGTTCATTCGAGTTTGAAATTACCTCCAAGCACTCGAGGTTAAAGTCATTTCTTACAGTTGATTGGTTCCTACAATTGACCAATGAGCTTACTACAAATCAATCCAATCTTATTCTTAGATTCGCAGATTGTCATCTACGAACATTTCTATTGGCTAATGTATTGTAATTTATAATCGAATATAATCGATTTTTGGCGCGAAAGAAACATTATATATTTTTCATATTATTTTTAATCATTAATTGATAATAACAAATAATTACGATTACATGTGTAATGTTAGTTTCTCGTTAATCGTAATTACGAAGAGTATCAAAATTAGTTATAAAATATCTGTCAATATTTGTTGCATAGTCCAGCTTAAATCGTTGTTCTCATTTGTTCAAAATAAATGTTTGAAAATAAAATAGCAAAAATAGCAGCAGTTAACGCTGATCCTAAGTACCACAAACTTCTTTGCAATACCTAAGACATAAATTATTGTTAAATTTATATACTTCAATAATCATTATAATTACTGTTTATAGTATATAACATATATGATTACCTTATCTTGCCATTTTTTATTAGTAATACATTCTTGGAAACTCATTCGACTAAAATGTACTGTATTATAAAGTGGTATCCAAGTATTTGGAATAAATTTATATAGAAAAGTATCGAAATGTCGACGCAAAACAAAAGATTTTGTCTGTACTAAATGTCTCATCTACAATTAAGTATAGTATATATATATATATATATAGTGTATACTATTATATAAAATGATAAATATATGCAAACATTATAATTATTTACCTCGATATAATTATACATTGCTAAGTCACATATCGCTTCTGCATCGTTACATCGAAGTTCGGAAAATTTTGGAAGAATTTCTATTAAATTCGAATTGTATTTTTCCATTAGATTGTCCAGCAATAAAATGTCCTCGAATCCCTGTAATTTCATTTAGTAGAAATTGATAGATATTATTTCATAATTAAAGCTACTATACTATACTATACTATAGTATACACTTACAGTGTTCATTCCTTGAGCGTAAAATGGTACCATAGCGTGTGCAGCATCTCCTACCAAAATGGCAGTTTTACCAACGTGAAATGGTCTACACTAGTAAACATAAATAGCAAATATTAATATCAATTAATGATGATAATAGCTAGAAAAATAGTTCTAAGTACCTTAATCGATATCAAAGTTTGCGGTTGTTTTTTGAAATAATCTCTAACTAATATTTCTTCGCCGATCAATGTCAATACATCGGGAAATTGTTTCTTATAAAAAGTGATTAAATTTTCAGGCGTTTTCAATTTGTCGAAAGTACTAAAAGGTGCGAAGAGATTAGCAGTAAAACTGTGATCCTCGTTTGGTAATGCTATCATCATAAACTCGTCTCTTGGCCAAATGTGAAGATGATTTCCACTCATTGCAAACTTTTAAACAAATTATTTCATATTATTAATGATCTAATGCTTCATTACATCTAATGCTTCATATCATTATTATACCTCGTTATTTTTTCCAGATGGAATAAATAATTCAACGTATCCATGTTCGATGTAAGTTTGACTATAATTAAAAAGTGGTCTTTTCAAAAAGATCTTTCGTATGGTAGAATAAGCACCATCTGCTCCGATTATTAGATCTATATTTACTTCTTCCGTCCTTTGATTCTTCGTACTTAAATGTCAATTGTATAATATAATGAATATTTCTATAATTATCTATTTCATAAATATACAAAATTCTATATATACATACATACATACATACATACATACATACTTAAAAATTGTTAATTTTCCTTGCTCGACATCAGCGTCGATTACTTTCGAATTAAAGTAGAGCTGTACTTCAGAATACTTTTCTGCAGCTACATTTATAAAATATTAATGATATAGTCTGGACATTGTATAGAATTAAATATAATGGCCGATTTTAGTTGGCATTCTATATGATCGTACATACAGTACGTATATACAGGATGTAAAAGGAGACAACAGTATGGATGAAAGTAACCCGATACGTTTGAATTCTTGTGGCTTCGCACCGTAATATAGGCTGCTATCGGATGTTCAAAACCATTTTTTAATCTTGAATACCATATCAGGTTCGTATTATTTTTTTACATAAGAACTCTTTATGCACGATAAAAAATTGCTCGCGTAACCGCTATACATATATCTCTATATACGTATGTAACACGATAATAATTAATAAATACATTCAAAAAGTATTATCGAGAGATAATATTTAGAATTGACTTTATCATTTGAATATGTACAGTACAAATAAGATATAAAATGTGAAATAAAAAGTGATCATTGAAATTACTAGTAGAAATTACTCACCGTTAAGTAAAATTTCATTGAGATGTTGTCTGTTGACTGAGTAAATGCACTGAAAATCCAACAAAGATAGTGCAGATATTGGAAACATTGAAGAGGAAAAAATGTTAGATGATAATAATAATAATAAGCGTTTTAATGAATTAATTAATAATGAAAATATTCTTACATTTCCTTTAACGCTGTCATAAATCATTTCTTTCAATTGGCCTTTTCTATCATGTAGCATTCTACCTTTCATAGGAATACCGTGTCGATTAACAAGAGCATCCTCGAGACCTACTGCTCTTAAAGCTTCTCGGCCACGTATTGATAAAGCTAAATCTATACTTTGACCCACCAACTTTTCCTTTCTAATATCTGAAAGATATGTATCAATTTAACACATATGTTAAATATATTAGATCCGATAAAATACCACGATTCAAAGTAGAAAAAAGATAAGAAAGAAAGAAAGAAAGAAAGTAAGTTAAGTTAAAGTAAGTTATTATCAGGGTTATTATTACTCTAAAACTCTATAGTATTGATAGTTTTCCAATAGTATAATAATAAATAAATGCTTAACTAATTTGATTTGCTTATTATTACCTGAACGATATTCGTAAACAGAAATCGAATGTCCTCTCTTAGCAAAGTAACAAGCAGCTAATGCTCCTACCTGACAAAAATATGATTAATATTTAGCAAGAAATATCTTCTAAGAAGCTTTTTCAATAATAAATATAAACAAAATATGTGTACATTTATGTACGTACCAATCCACCACCTACGATACCAATACGAATCTTCTGCTTACCGTCCGTCATGGTAACCTTTAGTTTACTGAACCATTCGGTTTGTCAGCTCTTACTTATAAGAGATATAGTATATGCTTTACCCTTTACATCCACATATACTACAAGCGTTGAGAGAGACGATCCCCTCCATTATTTTCTAACAAGGTGAAGAAGATGTGTCGTGCGATCGTCTCCCCTCCTATTTTTTTGAAATTTGCCACACTTGTAATAGTCCATGAGAAGATTCATTGTGGCTTTAAACTTGGTGCAAATACCAATTGAAATTTCACATAGATGAAGTTGTAGTTGTAGTAGTCTACAATAGCGCCGATACCTATATCTTTTCTACAATAATATTGAGATAATATTGAGATAGGGTTAAGTTTGTTTGTTTACCTTTTTTCGAACAGATTTTTTTCTTTTTTTTTTCAGTTTTTTTCAGTTTTTTATTGTATCTACTTATATACTTACTCTGGGAAAAAACCATAGGCCGTAGTATTCTATCAAAAGAATAGCAGAAGTAATGCATCCTTGTTTTTTCCAAAATATGCAGTTCTCAATATGTATTCAATTTATTTCTGTATATCTTACTAGGAGTTTGAAAACATTGCTAGATATTGACTGAAACTAACAAAATGTATATATTTGTATGAACTCCTAATATAAAGTATGTGCCGCCATTTACCTACCGGTAATAATTATTAATTTATTTTATCGACTGGTTAAACATTTATTGCCATCTAGCGGTAATAACTATTACTTTATCTTACCGCGCCATCACACACATTTTACCAGTCGGTAATAAGAAGATACAGATTTTCAAATATATTTTTGTTAAATAATTTAAAATGAATACAACGTAAATCATTTTTTAATTCACATAAATATAAATAATTGGGCGAATCGGTAGAGATTTGGCACATGATATAATTATATAGATTAACAGAGCTAAAATTGATTGTCACAAATCAAGCTGGGGGGATGTTCTCAAAATCTGTCGTTTACAACATTTTTGACAACTTCGAATAAGAAATTGGATATAAAGTGAGTCTTGAGAATTGAAACAAATTTGATTGTTTACATTGTCTGGATATACACAGAAAACATATTTATTCTCTTGATCAGAAATCACAGCCAATTTGTAAAAGAATTTTTCTTCAATAGTAAATTTGACCAGAAGTTTGTTTGTTTATTAAAATAATCATAATGTTCCTTAACAAGGTGTATCGAATAATAATAATAATAATTAGTATTGACACACGCGCATGATAAATGTAGATAAAAAATCTCTCTCTTTCCATTTTTTGATATAGATAAAAAAAGATGATACAGGGTGCCTGCAAATGATGTATGTACTTTTATTTTTAAATGAAATTTATGGCGGCACATCTTTTAAAATCTGTATTTGAAATAATATTCTTTTCATACTTTTTTCCCTGTACTTATATTGTCAAATAGTTTCAATATATGTATTTTTGTTTTTATCTTGCTGACTATTTAAAAACAGATAGAAAAAGATTTTATATCAAATGTAATTGGCTATAATTGATTGTTGACAAAAAAAAAAAAAAGAAAAAGAGAAAAAGAGAAAAAAAGAAAAAATGCAAATTGTTAGCTGTAATCTATACTGGCATAGGATTGTTTAGTTATCTAGATAACTCTATCTTTTAATTGTAGGACTTATTCTCTTGGATATTTTCTAAGCCAGAGTGTAAACGATTGCTTATCTCTTGGTCATGTACGAAAAGCTTATTTCACGTTCAGGATCAGAAAATCTATAATATAACATATACAATCATTTATACGTATATATAGGATTTACTGTATTAAGGCCTGACAGAAAATGTATGACCCTTCGTTTACAAATGAACTCTTTAATCTTTGCTATAAACGACGCTTAACAATTTTTTGTTTAATTTATTATTATTATTATTATTCTTATAATGATTTGTATCGCGTGCAACGCATTGCGAGCAAGCTCTCTCTTCCAAATGATTTTATTGCTTTAATTATTTATTTATCTCTCCGTTATTTTTTGGCAAATATGTAGTATATGGTCCTGGCGCCATCATGATCTTGGCTGATCGATTTTTTGCGATTTTTTGCGATTTATTGCATTTTTCTTCTTCTTTGAGAAATACTAATAAATAGTAATGATCAAATTCATAAGGCTTTTTATTAATAAACGACTAATTTTTGTCTTCATCTTTTCCGAAAATATTCATACTATGCAGTGGCAGATGATTATACTCTCTCTCTCTCTCTCTCTCTCTCTATATATTATACTCTCATATATATTTATAACAGATTTTTGTTATAACGGGAGTTGCTACTTAGTAACTCGCGATAGTATTATATGACTACACACATTGCAAACGATATATTAATATAATTTATATAACAATGATGCTCTTTTTGCATATTCAACTTGGTCTATTCTTTTTCATTCGTGTCCTATGTATAGAATTATATAAATAAATGACGCATATACGTCTAATCCGGCACTTTAAACTAAGTACAACATACTTTTTTCACAATCACGTGAACATTTTGTTTTTTCATCTATTTTCACATAGATTTAACGTATTATTATTATTATTATTATACCATCGTCATGAATGTTTTCTCATATAACTTTATATCATCACACATTTCTCACATAATGTGTGTGTGTGTGCTTATAATTCTATACAATGATAAAGAAATCATTTATTCAATGAAGGAACAATCAGAGTCTTACAATAAACTCGAGATTGTATGTTTGGTATTTTTCTAACACTGAATATAACAAAATTCATATTATTTATTTATATAAAATATAAAATAGTCAATTATTGATCATTTTTCAACAATATCCTACTAGATTAGTATTTAATAAAACATCATTAAAATAATATACATATAACAATACAATTGTGTTTATATATTTGGTCGTTTCAACAGTTATTTCGTTGTTCTTTATGATAATGAAAAAGGATTCTTCGTCGTTTAACATCCTGGACTGGATGATCATTTTATTTTTGCTTAAACACAGCAGCATTTTTAACAAGCAAACCTTTGTTAGGAAAAAACGAAATAACTTTTTGAACCACCTAATATATATTTGTTCTTATTGTTTCTAATTAATTCTAATTTTTGTTTCTTATCACATATGGAAAAAGAAGAGAATAAAGAAATGATAGATTTGTCATTCTTTCTAATTCATTCTCATTACTTTTCACGATAACGATTACAATAACGAGAATATTAGTTATTGGTGTTTTGGCAGCCGATATATTTCGTTTAGGCGAATGAGAACTCTTTCGAGTATTAATGATCTATCATCGATCATTCGAAAAACAAACACGACCCCCCCCCGCACACACGCAAGCACGCACGCACGCACGCACACATACACACACACGCGCGTACATAGTGAAGATTTCAAATTGATCCTACAACTGTCGGATAGTTACATATTTTTGTCGGCAGGCTTAAAAACGCATATCCAATATTATGATTACATTTAAATTTGTAATAATCTAAGGTGTGATAACATTACAAAAAAAAAATACAAGATAATGTTCAATCTTATATATATTTTTGTTTGTGCACTAATGGCAGTTGCAGGATCAAGTTAGAATTCAAATCTTGACTATGATCCAGCTCCAATTAATGTTAGATCTATATCGACGAATATAGATCAGTCATATATAAGTAAGTAATTATCGTGTCAATCAATCTTACTAGGACTATTTCAAGAATTCACAACTTTGTTTATTTTCTTTCTATACTTCAACTTTTTATAACCCAGTTTTTTGTATCCGTATCTATAGAAATATTATGTAATGTGAAAATTATAAACAAAATTAACAATTTCAAAGTTGTAATTCGTTATAGAGATTTAAATGCGTCACTTCCTCTAAGGAAATAAAATAAATGAGCAAATAGAAATGACAAAAACTATATAAATGTTTCAAATTGTCCTAGGATTTTAATATATATTTTATTATATATATTATTATATTTTCGCTTCCTCGAAGAATGCCAACATTGGTTAGTGTTGTAGGAAGCTATCAGCGAAATATTTGTATTACATCATTATTCTCTCGACGTTCTTTTTGTATAAGGCGTTTTTCTATTCTCCTGTTTTTTTTTCTTTTTCTTTTTCTTTTTCCTTGCGTTGAAAGGGAAGAACGATAAGGGACATATGGGATAAAAGTTTTACGCGTTTCGATAATTAAATAATCGTAGCTTCAATTTTGTATTCAACCTAAGCAGCAGCACGTCTTTGCAAAAAACTTCTCTCTTTTGCTTTTCTTTGAAGATGTCATTATTTTCTTCTATACTCGCATGATGTATGTTCTTGCGCTCTTTCATCTTTTTTCGAGGAGTTACGTTCGCGACGATGTCTCTACTTCGGAACATTGTTCTGGCGTGTAATATCGTATCCCGTTTATCTGCAAATTTATATAGAATTTCATGATATTATAGTGATCTATAAGGACTTCAACTTTTTCCTTTGAAGTTTATTAACACGTTGATTGGCGCGCATTTTTCACATTAACTTATCAAGCAATTACTTTAATAACACAAAAAACGTCCTCACATGTCCTGCATATTTTCTTTCTAATTATACAATTATTTGTGCATATTATATATGTCATTATTTTGTTCAAAAGCTTATAAAGACCGATGGTGGTATTATCTACAAATTTATCAGTATCGATATTTACTCTAATTATGTATTTTGACTAATGGTCGTGTCATGTCGCGCATAACGCGACAGTCAACGTGTTGATACGATTGTAAACAATTAACGCTCCCTTTATAATTGGTCAGATTTTTGCACAATTATAAATAAAAATGGAATTTTAATCACATTTTACCGTCATATCGTATTCCGTGATGTATGCTGGAATTTCTAATTGATCAGGTGCCATATCTTCGTACAAGTATTCGATGCCAGACAAATTATGCACTTTTTGTTTTATCGCTGGTGCCATAAATGTCGTGAACCACCACGTCATCATCTACAATACAAAAATAAAAAAAAAAAAATAAAAAAAAAAACAATACTTGTTAATATTTTGCCCAAATTGAACACATTCCACGCAGAAGAAAACGAATACTTACCTTAGTCCAGAAAGTAGGATGAATGATATAAAAGTGCTTAAGATTCTTTTTATATCTAAAAGAAAACAGGAAAATTAGTCAAAAATGTATGTTAAATAAATAATAATAAAAAAGAAAAAAGAAAAAAGAAAAGTATATATAAATCTTACTTGTACGGAAGGACATTGTAGACTTCGCGTAGCCATTGTAAGCTAGGATAATTGCTGCTTGTTGTCAACGTGTGAAAGTATGCGATTACATAATCACCTTTCACGATAGGGTCTAATAATTGAATGACGTACAGTAAAGCCTTCAAAAACAAACGAGATACGATTTCATATAAAATAATAGAAATAGGGTTGTTTTTTGATCTACACTGTTTTATAGTTAATCTTTTGAAGATGAACATTTACATCATAGAGACGATTGAGGAACTTTTTTCTTTAGATGTTCTATTTGTGGACATATACATATTGATTTGTTACAGTGGCGCGCAGAGAAAAAGGGCTGCGGCCAAACATAAACTAAGGCGTGGTACGCAATTGAATAATCCATAAACTACCGTAAACCTACCTCTAAACGATATTATTATTATTATTATTATTATTATTATTATTATTATTACCTTGTCCAAATTAATGTTTGTAGCAGGGAACCATTTGCCAACAAAGACTACGACTGGTCTTCCTTGACGATCTACACCACTCTGATAAAGACAACCAATTCCAGACACCTCTGTGAGATCTTCCGTTTTTGCTCTTCTCAGAAGCCTTTCATATCTATAAGCAAAAGATAAATAAATCAATCAAAAGAATTTGTAAGTTAAGTTGAGCGTGCGTGTTTTTGCAAAGAAACACGTTACGCTTACTTGCTGCGCTTACGATTATCGATTAGAAAATGTTCGGTAAGACTTTACATTTACACACAGAGGTGTTTGTAAGAAAATTGACCACCTGCGATTCTTTGATTATTTATTTAAAAAGAAAAACTAGTAGGTCGTTTGAAACAAAACAAAAAAAAAAAAATAAATAAGTCCAACTACTAATTGCGTTCCGTTAGACTAGTTATGAGAACTGTGCGAATAATGTTTCCTTTTTTTATTACGCGTTCAAGTCCAGAGAGGAAAAAGAATACTTGAGAAACAGAGGCAAAGGAGTATTCTAACCGGAAGTAGAGTATCATCGAGTGTTTTTTAATTACTGAAGCAATTAATGCTAATACACGTGATCTGTTTAATTTTCATTTCCTCATGTAGATGTGAAATATTATACTATTATTATAAATATTTATAGAAACATCATTTCGAAGGTATCTTGTGTTCATATATTTGCTTCGTGGAATGATAAGAATTGAACAATTGACGTTGTGACCGTTGTGTGTGAAGATTACATTGACAAAAAAATATAAATCAAAATGAATAGTTAAAAATCTCCTTTAATGACATAAATATTGAAATATTGAAATATTTTTCTTTCCTGTACGTAGAACATCAAACGTGTCAAGTAGGATCGAAACAAAACTAAGTAGATGATATGTATAAAGTCGTAATTGCATAGAAAGAAAACGTACTATTATTTAACATGATATTAACTTATATCAAGGTTTTAACTCGATAACGTTTTCATATTAACATGTTTTTTGTTGATTCAAATGAAATAGCAATACGTTATCGCATTCAAATTTATTCAACGGTGATTAAATATGTTATGATTACTTTTTCTTATCACCTTATCTCATTTCATCTATATTTCGGGATATTGCATTTAGTAACAACTATACTATTTGTTTATACAAAATTCGAATTTCTTTCAAAGTATTTTCTTTTATATTGTAATTATATTCTTTAAATTTGTAAATGAAAATTGATTCGGATTCTTGTAAAATTCGATTGATTCAACGGGTCCAAAATTAGACGCAATGCACGTATATGGCACGTAATTGGTACACACAGATAGACATGCGCATGCCTACTCTATGGGTATCTGTGTGTATGTGTGATGTACCCTACTACGAATTTCGATTCTATTAGTTATTATCGTCCTCTCTCTCTCTCTTTTTTTTTTATTTTGGTTTATTTAACGTTGTGTCAACCTTGTGTCTTTGTTCCGAATTAAAGAAAAACACAAAATCCTTAATGTTAGTATGAAAATTCGACGACGCAATTAATTTGTTAGAAAAGGTATAACACTTTGAAATTTTCTTCTATATACATAGATGATAACATAACTATATAATGTGACAGATGTAACTACCAATCACAAACGTGTTTGATAACGCAGAAATATCGATTATATATTCTAGCATAGAGGTCAAATGGAATTCTATCAAATTAGATTGAAAATGAAATATAATAAATCGATGTGCGTGATTAGGTATTGGTGTCCATTTAGGTATTGTGAATTTGAATGATAAATATTACATATATAAATAAAATAACTCTTCACTGACTATACAAAATAATAATGATGAATGAAATTATATAATATAAAGCACGTGTCAATATTAACAATGAATGATAGAAAAATTCAATACAATAATGAATAAAATAAAAAAGAGAGAAAGAATGTCAACGTAACGTTTTAATATAATACCTACCGGTCTTCATCCTCAATCACATCCACCATGTCGATCATGACCATTTTTTGTTAATATAAATCTTGTTTTTGTTTTATACTCTTTCAAAACTCACTTATAAACACGCACACAGTTATATTATGAAATTTAAACAAAAAACTATGTGCACATACATACGTGTGTATATATAAATAAAATAAAAGTTATACAAATAGAGAGATAGATATGAAGGAAGAGAAGAAGAGGGAGAGGAAAAGCGACGCGATGATACCGTGCGACGGTTCGTAACGAACTGAAAGACGCTAACGAATCTTGCTAACCGTGACCGCGACAACGACAGAACTATGAGGAGGACAACGAGGACAACGACGATGACGACGACGACGACGACGAAGGCAAACAACGACGTCGTCTCGTTCGTTCCTTCCTTCGTTAGTTGGTTCGTTGGTTTGGTGGGCACGCGCTTTTGCCAATAAGCATCAGAGCGCCTGCTCGACGTCCTTTTAACTACATACATATACACATACATATACACATACATATTAAACGTACGAGACGTGACGAAAGATATCGTGTGTGCATGATTTAATATTTCTTTCTTTCTTTCTTTCATCTTTTTTTAATTAAATTGCTTATAAATTATTCATTGCCAAGAATTGATTATTATTTTGAAAACTCGTTAAAAAAGTTCCATACATGTATAGTTAAATAATTAACGTTAAGACCGAAATTGAGCATTTTGGATCAAGGATTTGTTTTTGTAAGAGCCGGTTCTTAACATTAAAAGTAATAATAAATTATAAATATTAAGATAAGGAATCTTTTTTTTTACAAAGACAAAATTGAAATGAAATGTTTGTCCATATTTAAGTGTAAAAACAATTAACAAATAATCCATAAAGGAGAGTAGAACATTATTGACTAGTTATACGTACTAGTTATACTCCCACACGTCGTAAGTGGGAGTGACCTAACGCATGAGTTCCACCCATATCCCTATTTCTCTATTTCTAATTAAATATATTACATTTACGCATATGCACTTAAACATTGACTGACTTAACATGAATTCCCACTCATCCTTTGGGATGAAATAATTCGTCATATCTCATATCGAGATCGAGGTCGTAGGCGATACCGGAAATGCAATCATAAGTATTCTTTTATATACCGTAGCTTGGATGTATTCAAATTGTTTGCCAAATGTAAGCACTTCAACATTTTCTGACATGAGTAATCGATGATTCATCAAGAATAATCTAACCGTCAGATATTATTATTATGCAATATTGYGTGAGAGAAAAAGAAAAATCAATTTGTTAAGCTTCTACCGTATTAGAATGTTAAATAAAATAGAAAGCAACTAACAAATATATATATATAAATGCTAAAAATTACATAGTATTATAAAGATTCACATTTCTCTATATTTAACAATATTTTGTAAATGAAAATACAAAGATGAAAGAAAGAAAGAAAGAAAGAGAGAGAGAGAGAGAGAGAGAGAGAGAGAGAGAGAGAGAGAGAGAGAGAGAGAGAATCAAAGTTTTAAAGGCTTAATTATCTCGTTATTAAATAAGATAAGAATGTTGGTATCTTTAGGCTTGCACACACACCCTCCTACTTTGTTTTTTGAATCATACCGATTAATAAGAAAAGTTATATTTAAAAGCTTCGTCATTGAACAACTCGTACTATTTCTTAATAGAAATATACTCCCAATATTGCGTTTTCCTTAGATCTTCGAATCATGAATGAACCTAAGATTATTAATTGTACCTAAGATATTAATGTGTACGTTATATTGTTACAATCGTATTATACGTATGTGAATAGGTACAAGAAGATATGAGTAAAGTTTTGACAAATACTAACCTTTCTTTTTGTTGCATCTGTTTGATCATGATATCAGCAAGAGGATCAGTGACCGATCTCTCTCCGAGTAGCCTTTGTCGATCCAAGTCACCTTGCATTTGTGCAAATGCATGTTCCCCGATATTTACAGATGTCTCCAATTGTGAAGAAAGTTCTACAGTTTCTTCGTCGTCTGGCAACACACAAAAGTTATTTTATAAAATGTCATTAGAAATATTTTCTTACAACTGATATTATAACGTTTCAACTAAAATGTTATTGTATTTAGATTGTAAAATGACAAGTCTTAGGAACTTTTGTTTCAAAAATGATCTACGTTATATCGACTTTATTTTATTTATTGTCCTATATTTTGAAAGTAAATAATATATTATAATCTATCTTTCTCGATGAACGGTTGTTAGACGACTCTTATAAAAATAGAATAATAGTTATCTATTTGTAGAGCTTTAAGGTCCTACACTCTCGTCTCGATTCGATCGACTAATTCGATATTCATCCAAGTAATGCATACTGCCATATCTATTTACCGAATGACCCACTTAACGGTATGATCGATTTCTAACGGTTGCCCTGCCCTGCCCTGCCCTGCCCTGATTTGAACTTGAACCTTTTGAAAAATAAATGATTCTTTAGGAACACAAGAAGTTAATAGATATTTTAATAGATGAAATCGTAGAGAATATAAATAACACATATAATTATTAATTCTATTATCATAGCCTTACGGTCTTATATACGGTCTATATTTTTCCTCATTTTTGCTCATTTTTGCTCATTTTTGTTCATTGGATTTAATCATATTCTTGAATAATCAAAAAGCTCAATCTAATTAGACGTTAATAGCGTTATTACCATGTAAAGCATGTTGAGGATTGTCAATAATTCTAATTTGACGGTCAGGTAAGAGTGGTTCTCCATCCGGTCCACCTAAATCGATTGGTAACTGCCAGCACGCATTGTCCTGTTCCGCCAAATTTCTTGGAAAATATAGTGGCAAAAGTATTTCATATATACCGAGGTCAGAGGCTTCTAGGACGAGGATAATACAGGTCAGAGAGTCTGAATATTGTTCCAGAAACCTTCTTATCGTTCCTACGATGAAAAAACATACATTTATATTAAGTACACATACATATTTGTTGGAACATATATTCTATTAGAAAGTGTTTCGAAATTTGTCAAATGTTCACATACTGAGTGCTATATGTGCTCCTGCATCAGATGGATAATTTCTTCTCACCGAGTTGATTACCGGCAAAGCGATACTACGTAACCCAAGCTCTCGACATTTTTGTAATACATTCCTGTAAATAATGCAAATAATAACATTAATAAATATTTTCATATCGGACAAAGTCCGTCGTCATTACGTCATTACTTTCCGCCCGATTCATTTCTTATTGTATGATTGTATCGTAATAAATATTATATACCTATAACAACAATGCAAAGTATTCTGAGCTGCTGTTTGATATTTAATATTGTAATATGGGCCAACCGTGTGAATGATAAACCGTGCTGGTAAGCCGTGTCCTTGAGTTACTCGGACTTCTCCAGTTTTACATTCTGTCCAAATAATTATTATAGATTGATTAGATTTTAGTTTTAACGTTTTAACGTTATAACGTTATAAGAATTAGTTTAGTTTGTATATTAGTTTGTACTATAGTACTACACCTTTTACTTCATTATAGATTTCCATCTTAAGTGCTGACCCTGCACGATCGAATATTCTTTGGCACATGATGCTATCTTCATCCATTGTCTCGTTCGTTGAGTTTATCACGGCGTCGACTTGTAATACCGATATATCGCCAGTCCTACAAAATCAAAAATATAAATAAGAAGCAATTGGGGAATTGAAATAAATAATAATAATAATAATCAATAGATAACTTACCATAATGCGATTTTATTGTTAAGTGCAGGTTGATAGGGAAATGGGCTAATGGTGTGATGACTCGGTTCGTCGATAGAATTCGAATAATCCGTGAATCGATGTTGAACAGGAAAATCGGTCCATTTTTTCAATGCACTTATATCGACGACATCCGGGGCGATACGCAACGGTTCCATCAGCCTCATTCAGCTGAAACCAATAATTCTACATGTAACAACACAACATTTTTTCAAGTATAAATAATAAATATGAAAATATTATACGTATTATATATTGAATGTATGATATTTTCTTTTTCAAAAACGGAAAGTCAAGACCGAAAAATGCTTTTGGTGTACGTTAAGTTCTAAAAATAAACGGCTTTATCGATGAAAATATAGGTCATATACAGTAGATATGTACGTGTATATGGTGGTGGTGGTGGTGTGTGTGTGTGTGTGTGTGTGTGTGTGTGTGAGAGAGAGAGTAAAATGCCGAAGGACACGGCCCGGAAAAACAATTGAATTTTCTCAAATTATTCGCTGTTTCGTACGTTTTCGTTTCCGTATACGGTCAAACTTTCGAGCTACTCTACTTGCATATAAATTCAACTGGATATACACAGTCGTCATAAACATAGAAAATACATATACAGATCCGCATGTATATAAGTGTATAATATGTGTATATATGGAAAAAGAAAAGAAGATGGAAAGTATATAGGATATTATAGGATCCCCTTATTATATAGACAAGGAGACAGAAAGACTGGCGCCGTGTCTGGCCTAACGCCGATCCTATACCCTCTTCTTATCCCTCTTATATTCCTTAGTATAAAAGAGGATCGTCGACCTTAGCTTTCCAAAGTAGTTTTTAGTCATTCCAAATAATCCCCTTAAATGTTAAATCTTTAACAATAAAAGACGTTCTCATTTACAATATGAGATATAAATAGTCTGGGTTTTGCAACAAGATTACATGCAATAACATGTGTGTATGTTAATATCTATAATATATCTTTTTTTTGTTTTCTTCATTTTATGATATGACCTCATTACGGTCACATTATATATATATATAAAATGGTGGTCAATACAACTAACAATTTGATTTTTTCACGTTATCAACACACACACACACAAGATACGAATTATCTTTCCATTAATCATCAAGATTAGATTAAAAAGAGCCTTAAGCATATTAGCTGGTGAAAGTCACGAATCATTTTGTTGAATTATCATGACAATTCATTAGAACTCATAAAATTGTTATAAAATTGGGCGAATGTAATATTTAAATGAAATATTTCATACCACTCTAATAGATATATATATATATATATATATATATATATATATATATATCTATTATAACAAAGCCGTAGCAACGCGTTATGTTACGTCACCGTGGACGTTAAATGGTTCATCGGTTAACTGGCGTCAATCAGCTAAAAACAAAGTTTAGAATTTGTTTTTGATCTATTTCTAGTGACAATTGTAAGATTAGTCGATGTGTAAAATCACGTAGAAGAAAAGTAGCATAACTCGCGTAATTCTAATGACATTTTGTCGAGGTTTCAGACGAGATTAGATGACTCGCGCGACGAGTAGAGCTATCCAATCAGTGGAAGAAACCTTTGAAAAGTAGAACATACATGCATTCCCGGTGACCGTGTATATATGCAAATGAGGGGGAAAAGGGGGAGAAAAGTTGAATTCTTTGCCATCTCAAACAAGGGCTTCTTTTATAACTGAGAGAAAGAGAGAGAGAGAGAGAGAGAGAGAGAGAGAGAGGGAGAAAGCTTCCATTATTGTAACACAATAGAAACATTGAAAGGTGCAAAAGGTAGAATGAGATAATGAACATTTGTTAAATGGAAGGATAATAAAGAGAACAAAATCGTAGTTTAATTCTATCTGACCTACATAAATTATCTAAGGGAAATAATATATAAGAGGAGGAAGGGTAGCGTGGAGGAGAGCGTGGAGGAGAGCGTGGAGGAGAGCGTGTGAACCTTAAGAACCTTCTGAGGAATCTCGAGAAAAAAGAACATCACGTCAGGTGTTTCTGCCTGATATCTGATAGTGATGTTAAGTGGTGGTGCTCCTCGTCGCGTGTCTTGGCTCACTTTTTTCGTCCCCGTTAATTTGATCGAATAATCATTTTCAAAGTTATATTTAAACATGCACAAAAAGAAAGAAAGTACATTCATTTTAGCACTAGACAGGTATACTACTAGATAACCTGGAACGTTTTGAGATTCCACTTAAAAAAGTGGCTACGCGTTACTGTAGCGTTACTGTAAGTAGGGTAGAGCTTTCTTGGCTAATTGGAGAATAGTCGGAAGCACGGACGAGCCTAACTCCAATGTTAAAACTTCCTTTTCATTTTATTTTGCTTGCAATTATTTAAAGCTCCATATAATAAGATCAAATGTAATATTAAATAGTTACAATATTTTGGATATTTTGCAAATTCCATTTAGATAGAGAAACATCTACAACATACAACGTAGCAACGTTTAGCAATTAAACGTATTTTTGTGGGAACGTATGTTAAGTTTGATCTTTTTTTAGAAATTGTTGAAATGAATTTATACTGATACTCTGATGTGCAAATAAATCTATTAAAATGAAGCGAGATAGAGATTTTTGTAATGATTTTGTACATTAGCGAGCCTAATACAAATGTGTAATTGGAAAGATTTGGAATGAACTTAGTACAATGTGTGTTTGCCTAGCTAACTATTATTCACATCCGGTTGTTGAACCGTATAATACCAGATAATAAAGTATCATTAGTGAGTGATCAATGTAATTACAATTGAAATATAATACCATCCCATCCATTATTTGATTCATTCGAGAAGAGACAAATAAAAAGCATTACACACTTAATAATTATATTCTTCTAGCAAGTTTTCTAAATGATTTTCCCAAGTTATCCCAAGTAATTATCACAATGCGTGTAAATACATATAAGACATAATCACGCACGTTGTTCGACGTTGCGTGTGCGCTTGCACCTGTTGTACCCTAAGTGTGACTCAACGGTTTATATGTATAATGAAATATAAAAATAAAATCTATACGTTATTAATAAAATATAGTATGTTATAAAAATAATCTATAAGTAAATGAATGAAAAAATGCTTCTTTTCTTTTTTCTTCCACCACAATACCCTTATTATACAACGCATGTTAATAAAGTTCAATGTGCAATATAACATTAACATATGTAAAACGTTTTATACAAGTTTTATACAAGGAATTACGAATACAATATTATCTTTATCTTTATYATTATTATCGCGCGCGTTGTAATATTTATTTAATAGAGCTATGTGTGTATGTATGTATGTTGCTACGTATATACCTTGTACATCCTCCTGTATATAACAGATTTTTGTTAAAAATTAAGTTTATAAAATGAAAAAACTCGATAATATCCCATTATATTGATCGATTGAAGAACCTAATTATAAGGTTTGACTTGAACCTTGTTTCTCCTCAAGCTACAATTTCCATAAGAGCCATGTATATGTCATAATCATCGAGTATAGATCATAATCGATATTTGGGAAACGGAAATATACGATTAGTATATCAGTATTGCGTCAGGGTTGCGTCATTACCAATAGTCATTTCTTTACGATTAACAACAAAATCAATTTATGAGTAAAACAAACAGGAATTTTCCTTATAATTAAAAAAAGATAAACAAGATTGACTTACGTAGAATATACTATCTATAATAACTATCTTTTTGATTATTGATACATTTTGTAATTGATTGCTAAACATATTGTAAGAATTCAATGTTTCCTCATAGACGGATAGAATTATCTTGACACATTTGACTTTTCTGCACCTGTTACTCGACCCAAACAAATATCTTTCATATGTTCATTTTAATTACTTACAATTTATTTACAATGTTATATGCTAATAAATTGATGAATATAAAATGTGCATTTTAATGCAATTATGTCATTGGGAAACGCTCGATGGAAAATCGATATTAACTCGGTTAAGATTGTAATCCTTGTAAGTGTAAGTAAGTACGAAGAACGTAGTCTAGTAGTCTATCCAAAAAATATATCCATCATTTCCTTTTTATACATTGTAAAAAGAAAAATATTAGATGAGAGAGCAAGCATACACATGGATACACATGGATACACATTTTAATGAGGAAAGTAACAAGAAATGTACCAATTGCACAAGAGGGATTAAGACAGAGATAGATAGGTGGAAAAGGTAAAGCGAACGAACAGACGGAGAACGCACGACACGAATTATCGACGCGCGTTTCTCGGACATGCTGCTATGCTGGCTCACACCGATCAAGGTCACACACACTGGAGGGTCTTCCGTTAGGTGTACTTAGGAAGCCGATGCGATTAACATCGCCAAAAGGAAAGAGAGAAAGAGAGTATCTTTACCTTGTCATTAAATCAAAACGACCTTTATATCTATTACACACTAATACGAGTGGTTACAGTGCTAGAGATTGACCCTTTTTCGCCTCTGTGTGTCTGTCTGTGTCTCTCTCTATGTGTTTTCACAGAAGAAAATCGTTGTTGAATGCAACATAGTATAACACATTGAATAAATAGAGCTTAAATAAAAGAGACAAAATGTACGAAAAGAAAAATATCCAACGTCCACACAAGATTCTCGATGATGACATAATGTATAATGACGAGTGGTGTTCGACAAAGATCGAAGTACGTTTCACGCACAAGGCTAGCAACACGTATTCATAGCTTACGTTTTTTTATATGCAAATGATGATAGGAATTTACATTAATGTAAAAAAATACTTTGCTACGTCTACCGTTAAGGATTTCAATATTTATAGGAAAAATGACGAGAGAGAGAGAGAGAGAGAGAGAGGAAAAGCGTCGCCTAGACATCGAGCGCGATTTCTCTTATTCATACAGAGATAAAATATTTATCAGATAGCTTGCTCACAAACAGCGGATCGTATCGACGAAAGATAGAGAGGGGGAACAAAAGCAAGAATGAGAAAGAGGAAAAAGAAAATGCATCGATAGGAACAAATCCATCCAAGTTGTGTAAACATATGATATCGATGATGAATAATAGGAAAAAACTAAATACAAATCTAAACGGGAAATAAAAGAAAATAATTCTTTTACTTTTTTACACGCAATATATATATATATAATATATACATATGTGTATATATATGCATATATATGAGAAAGAGATAACCGCGTGCTTGATCGCGCCGACGCATTGTCCTCGGTGCACTCACCTTCGAAACGTCCGCCTTAGGACGACAGGCAGTCTCGTGTCTGCAAACGCACCAGGCAAATTGTATTCGTTAATCAGGATATTATCCTTATGTAGTATACGTCTTGTAACACCAAGTACAAACGATTAGATCCTTATTGGTGTCCCTGACAGGTGTTAGTATACCTAATTTTCCTTCTTTTTCTTCCTCCTTTTCTTATTTCCTTTTAAAAAAATAATCTAATAATTTCCTTCTCTCTCTCTCTCTTTATCTTTCTCTTTCTACGTAATCTATCCTCTTCTAACCTTGATATTTTTTATTTCCTTTTCTTCTTCTATCTTCGACTTATTTGATTTGAATTCCTTGGGATTTATACGAAACGTCAGCTTCTTCTTCTTCTTCGTTTTCCTTGTTGCTCTTGAACCCCTTCTATGTTGTCTCGAGCAAAGACCCGCCAAGAGGACTCACGAACGTTTGGACGCATTCGCGATTTCGAGGACAACTAAAATACAATGCTCACCCCGAAACGATCACTATGACACTGAAGCGCGTGTGCGGGGAGACGAGCCGGCGGCGCCACTTAAGCCCCCACTCCTCTGCCATTGAAATTAAACAACAGCGCCACACCGCTTACTCTTACGGCGCCAATATTTGAATCTCTCTTTTGCGAGCGAGGGAAAATGGCTTGCTTTCGAATTGTGATTTTTTCACGTCTTTCGCTAGAAACCAAATCTATCTTTACGTTTGACTTTATCCAACGTTCCATAAACATTGATGACGGCATTGAATCCTTCTTTTTTTTTTCTATTGACCCTATGAACGAAAGTTTATTGGTCGGTGGTATACATTTACAATATTGATTAATTTTATTTGTCGACTATTAGTTACTGTATAAGAATTTAATTAATTTCTTTTGCTTTTTTATTGATTATTTTATATAAATCTTGTGAATTGTTTCTTTACCTTTTATCCGAACAAAAATTCTTAATGTTAATCTCTCCTCTGTATACATTTATTTCAATTGTTTATTTTTATTTGGAAGAATATAACGAGTTGATGTATCTCTTTGTAAATCTAATAATCATGTTGTAATATCATATTGTAATCACCTTTAAATGAAATTAATAATAATTATAATATATATTATCGTACGTGTTGTTTTTAATAAATAAAAAAGAAATTTTTTGTAGAGAAAAGAAAATGACACTATTTTATCAATAAATAATATCATTCGACTTACTGAATTCTTTGTCATGAGAGGAAAACAGTATCCATAAATAAAGACATAACTATATACATTTTCTTCTTATTTTTGTTAAAACGTTTACATATGGAATTTTCAATCGCGACTGCGCAATGATATTTCCTGCGCGTTTGTCGACATGTAAAGCGCACGCGGTCTTTCGAAATGGTATTTTTAGAGAAGTAAGTCGCTGGCTACCAGCGACAACGGTAGTCATTGCTCTTGATCTCAAACAAGCCGAATACACGTAGCTAACTAATCGGGTGACCAGTAGTGAGTAGATCCTAACAAAATCCAAGTCTGTGAAAGCTTAATCTATCACTAGAACTTATTTTCTTATATCCTTTCTTCTTTTTTTTTTTATTATCTATCTACAATCCTTTGTTTCCCAGATTGCTTTTATCATCTACCTTACCTGAAAAAAAACACACACACAAAATAAAATGATATTTTTGTATGAAGTACCAAGATTATCTTCAAACAAATTTTTAACATTCTAAATACATCGATGATTTCATTTATTTAAAATATAACAATATATTATAAACACGACAAATTTACACATTCGTTTGTTCTTAAATTTTCTATCTATACGTTAACTTTCTAACTCAAGGTTCCTCTGACTAAATCTGTGTCTTTCTTTAATCCTTCTTTGTACTCACGTTCACTGACCGTCCTTCTTGACAAAAGTATTTTTGTACATACAATTTTTCAATCAGATCTGTAATATAACAATTGAAATAAAATAAAACAGCTTATTACATTTTCAATCATTTTTATATCTTCTTACACCTGTTGTGTTGATATTGTTTTTTCTTCTAAAGCTGCTCTCATTGTTCTCAGGTAGGACAATCGTGTTTTATAGTAGTTCTGAAGCTTTTTTCTTTCTCTTTCTTTTTCTTTCTTTCTCGCTCTCGCTCTCGCACTCGCTCTGTCTGTGTCTAAGAACCGAGCCAAATTCAGGCTAAAAAAAGCTCTTTTGCTGGCGCACTTGGAGATCACGCTTCTTTGCTTTCTAAGCCAATAACTTCTAACCGATTTTGTTGACTCGGTAATACTTTAATGTTTTCCTCTTGTATTTTTCCAATGGGTTTTAAATTGAAACAATTGGAAATATTATTAACAACTTTAAAAAAATACTTTTACACTATATACTAAACTATATTTTATAATTAAAATGATCAAATCGAAAGATGAATTTTAAGCAATAAAATAATCAATTCTAAATGAAATAAAAATGAAGTAATACAATGTGATTGAGTAGTATTGTTGATTGATAATTGAAATATCTCTAAGTAGTTTATATGTAGTTATTAGCATAATCGATTAAATGTGCGATCGCTTTGTTTTCGATTGTTTGAATAAAATATTTCATTTGATCTCTTTGTGTTTTCATACGTGAATTAAGCTATTCTTAGTTATACTCACATGATGACGCTTCGTATTTGAAAGATTCTTATACAGTTTATATTGTTGGTTGGATGTTTTCAACGTGATAATGCAGAGTCACAAGGAGAGAAGTATTTTATACAAATTGTTTAGACGATGAGCAATCATGTTGCTACATATCTAGTATTTATTTTCTAACATCTCTTCGCAGTTCTTTGTTACCTGCAATCATACGATCGATCGTACAAAAGTTATTTAGATCGATTATCAGTTAAATTACTTAGTGACATATTGTTGTTTTTGTTATTTTGCGATGCCAAAATTAAATGCCTTTGTATCAGCAGCTCAGTATTATTCTCGCTCACTCTGCTTTCATATTAAACGATCTTTTTATTCAGATCTTGATCTCTTGGCTTGATCTATCTCTCCATTCTTTCTTCCTATCTTTCTATCTATATTTTCTTCATTTTCTTCTACGCCATCAAATAATGCTACAAAAAAGAGAAAAAAATATTAATAAAACTAGCTTATATATATATATATATATATATATATATATATATTCTAAGAATGAATCTAAGGTTATTCTATTTTTAAAATGAAAATCAAGTTTGTTATGTGTTGCAATAATATATTTCAGATAGTTTCGTCGAAAAGTAGATTCTATTATTTCCCAAAGTCCAAAGATATATTGCATTTCGTCATCGACAAGAATACTATATTAAGCGGATATGGGTGCTGCAAACACTAGTAATATTTTGCCATCTTCTTCTGCATCATCGATTCCTTTGAGAGCAAGGAACACTGAAAATCCTCAAGATAATATTCTTCATTGTGTTGATGGTGCAAATGAAGATACTTTGCGATCTACGGGTTACAACAACGTTACTGGAGAACCTCGAGCACAGGTTTACTTGACATTCAATCATTTTATTATAAATTAATATCAAGAATAAATAGCAATTACATTTAATTGCAATATCATTGTTATGCTTGCACGTGCTTCTCATTCTTATCCGCCATAGCTGGGCCCGAGTTGGCACATGTCCAAAAACTGAACACTAGAACAGAGTTTTTCTGCGTATTTACAATGAGTCACAATCGTATCATTTTTCGGATTAATCAATTTTTGTCGATGTCAATTTTTGTCAATTTACAGATGGATACTTACGTTACACGATGCTGCAACACAGATTGGAAAGCTGTTGGAGAAGCAGCTAGCAATTGTTCTTCATTGAAGTTAAAGCATCGCGAAAATATGGAGCTTTCCCAGATTATTTTACAATTAGCTAAGGCTAATCAACAATTGGCTAATGCTCATAATACAGCGTTGGCACAATTGGAGGGACTCTATATAGAATTACAAAGGGAAAAAAATGCACAGAAATTAATTTCCAATAATAGCGAATTAGCTTCGTCTAATATACCACCTTCGAGGAAAAGACTATTGAGTCAGGATACAAAAGGAGAATCCACAGAAGAGAATGATTCGAGAATAAATCTCGAAGGTCGTCGTATAGACAACAGGCTTGAAAGTGTTGTATCTGAAAGATCTAATGTTTTTAGAGATGAACAGAAAAATATCTTTCAGGATAGAGTACCTCGCGTAGAAATAAATCAATCTAATGAATCTTATAATTCAGAACAATTTCCTCCACGAATAATTAATCGATATTATAGGGAACACTCAATTAATTGTCAAGAAGGAGAAATGACCGTACGGAATAATGAAAATAGAGGAGTAAGTATTTTTCAATTGAAGTATATATATCCAATTTTTATTCAATTGGAAATGATGATTTATTTATAAAGGTACCTTGTTGTAATACGAATTCGTACGATAAACATGATCATCGAGGGGAGCAACAGGAGCACGTCGAAAGATTGACTAACGATGAAATGATTCAATTATTCGAACAACTACGTGCACTAAAGGCTGACAAAGTCGAATATCAAAATACGAACGAAAGATTAAATGCGAATATTGCGGAACAAACAAAATCTACTGAAAAGTTATGTAAGGATTATGAGGTACATATATGATTTCTTCTCTTTTCAAAATCTCTTTTTAGATTTGAAAGAAATTTCGAGCATTTGCTTTTACTGATTGCTTTCTTCTTCTTCTTCTTCTTCTTCTTCTTCCTCCTCCTTTCAAGTAACACATTTACAATTTCCTACAATAAAAAATAATGTTTGTTTATTATACAAGCTAACATTTATTCACTCGCATTCATGGATTTAGTTGATTTCTTTTTTAACAAAATATTACAAAAAATGCTTTATATTCCATAACATAGATGTTGAAAGAACAATGCGAACATTTAGAATGCAGCTTAAACGAACGTAGAAATCAGCATGAGAAGCTTGTAAAAGACTTCGATTTATCTAAAAACGAAATGGAAAACATGATGAAGGAAATAAACTCGTTTCAGTTAGAAAAAGACACTGCCGAAGCTCGGATCTCAAGTTTAGAAGGAGACTTGAAAAAGGTTATTAAAGAAAATGAACAGATTAAGGATATGGAAAATGATCAAATAATGAAGTTAAAGGCACAATTAGTCGAGGAAATATCTGATAAAAAGAAACATATGAAGAGCTTGGAGGAAGCACTGAATGAGATTCAAAGACTGAAGGAAGCTATGAAGACTGATATGAAAACCGATCCGACCGATGAGACTATTACAAAAGAATTACAAATTGGTATGTTTTTCATGAATTATCTTTATATAATAAGGACAAATATTGTTGACATAAAAATAATTACAGACTCTACACAATCAAACGAGATATCTGAAGATCCTGCTAGCACAGATCGTGCTATCGGTATGGATTTATTCAAGAAAGAATTAATATTGAAGAGAGAAGCAAGACAGAGAGCTATTGCTGCAGTATCATCGGAAATGGAAAGACTTAGGCAAGAATTGGAAGCAGAAAAGGAAGCACATTCTGAGACATCTAGGGTCCTTGATCTATTAAGATCAACTCAATCTAGTCATCAGAATGTGTGTGATAATACTGTGATTTGTGATAATAGAATTAATAAGAGATCTAAATCCATCGATGAAGATTCGGATGACAACGAAATGTTGCTTAGACGTATCGAGGCTCAACGACTCAGTAGTATTTTAAAGGTTAATACTTAATATACTCATATGATGATTCATTTATGAGTATATAAATATAATAATAAATGACACATTTATATATTATAGGTTTCTGATGAATTACGAAACAATATACGTTTCCAAATAGAGAAAGTAGATGATCTTCGATACCAACTGGAAAGTGAACCCGAACAACACCGATATATCATTCGTTGTTTAACCGACGTTACCAACAAGACGAGAGATACATTGAAAACTCGTGAACATCGTGCTAATGAATTGAAAGATTATCTAGCACGTAATCTAGCACGATTAAATGACAGAAGTTTTTTGGATACGGATGATCTTAGTGCAGAATGTGAACGTCAATTGGAAAGTATCAATAGTTTGAAAAGTTTATACAATGAAAGATTAAGAGTAATAACTGAATTGAAGGATACCGCTATTAAAGAACTTATCGATGTTAAGGAAAACCTTAAACATACCTCAAAGGAGCGCGAAGGTTTAGAAGAAGATCTCAGGAAAGCAGAAGAGAAGGTAAAATCTATCAATTGTTTTATTATTTCTTCTTCTTAAATAGTACTTTGTTGAATACTTTATTTTATTTTAAGTAGATTGACGCCCAAGATACAGAGATCTCAAACCTAGAATCTCAATTAGGTTTAACCAAAGCAGATTGTAGAGATCTTCAAAATCAAATGTCGCTTATCAACAGTTTGTTCACTCAAATGCTTTTGGGAGCTTCTTCCGCTGACATGGACTTGGATAGATTATCACAATTATTACAGGTATTATTATAACAGGCTTTTCTTTTTCCTTTTCTTCTATCTATATGAGATCATAATTATATATAATAATCATATTCCACTTGTTCCATGGTTTCCACAGGAAAACCGTGATCTCATAACTGACATAGCAAGAGATAATTGCACAGAGGCTGCTGCACTTCCAAAACTCTTGTTAGATTTGGTAGAACAAGTTGATGGTAATAAAGGATTACAAAAACGTAACAACGAGGATGATCAACAGCATGAAGAAATAGCTCATAACTTACCAAAGGTAGCACATATATATATATATATATTTGTTAATGATTTTTCTAGTTCCAATATTTAACATTTTATGTATAATTCGTTATTGATACAAAGGTATGGCGTGTTTTGTTGGAATTGTTAAGTTGTCACGCTGCTGCTTCACAAAATGCATCGGCAACGTCTTCCTCGGATTCCAACAGTTGTTATAAATCTGTGGATACACCTAGTGGCCCAAAATTGGTGATATCTGTTAGTAAAACTTATATTCACTTGAAGGAATTAATTCTGGAAAAGAAACATTTGGAAAAAGAAATGAATCGAATGAAACAATTAAACACGCATTTGGAAAGCAAACTAGGAGAACAGGTAACTATAGAGCTCTTAACAGAGCTTTACAGATTGCTCGGTCAACATATAAAATGTGCTTCAGTTGGCAGTGTTTAGAACACAACAAGGGAGAGGTGGAAAGTATTTTTAATCTCGTGCAAGTGAAACAAACTATGGAAATTTAAAAATATTTTGTAAAATAACCGATTCTTAATAATAATATAAATATTATTATTATTATTATTATTATTAACAGGAAAAAAGACTTTCGGATGTAACTGCTGAATTAAGCAAAACATGGAACATTGTTGGTCGAATGCAAGCTCAACATCAGCAATTGCATACACACGAGAAAATTCTTAGATACGAGTTGCAACAAAAACGAAAGATGTTACAAGAATTGAAATTGGAATTGGAATATTGCAGAGAAAAGTGGGAATCAGCGAGACAGAAAAATACTAATACTGAATTAGAATGGCGAAGTTTACGACGTGAATTTGCTGCAAGGAAAATGCTTTCTGTCCATGATTCTGTTAATAACAGGTAAGCACAAAGTTACATTTTCTTTTTTATCTTTTTTCATTTTAATCTTCATACGTTCATAATTATAAATTTGAACGTAGTGCTGAGAGTGGCTTTAGCGATGAACGAGGTGACGATACCGATGAGGAAGATGAAACTGTTGAAGACAGAGTTCGAATGGGTTTAACAAGAAGAACCAGAAAGGTTTATATGACAATTATTTTCTTATGTAAAATCTATCACACACACACAATAAACTTTTATATTACCAATATTCAAATATTGAACATATAAATTTGATCAATTTAATTTTGGGGTAGGAAAGTCCGAAAAGTTCAACGATGTCAACTGTAGAATTGGAACAACCTGATGATATTGGGTTACCAGAAACGAGTTCTTCCATTGCTTTAACAACTCAAGTACCTGTAGCAGAAAAAGAGACTGAATTTGATGAGATTAAGATTTTGGATACAACGTCATCGTCATCGTCATCGTCATCGTCATCGTCATCGTCATCGTCATCATCATCGTCATCATCATCATCATCATCATCATTGGTAGAACCTACAAATACTCAAGAATCAGATGTACGTAGAAATTTGTTTATGCATATGTTGTTAACTAACAGGATCTATCTAATAGGATATTTATTTTTGTCTACAGCTCGTCGCGGAAGTTTTACAACAACCTTTGGATCCCTTAGATCAAGCTTTAACTACTGTAATACGAAATCTTATAAAAATAGACGATGATACGGAATCGAGTAGTGATGAATTTAATTCTAGAGAAAATATTGCATTGCCATTTATACGTTTTGTTGATAATGTTAGATCGGAAAATAATCATGAGGATAATAAAAATGACCCATCGATTCCGACAGATTGTCTTAGTAATAATGAAACGAAAGATAATATAAATATTCAATCATGCTATTCTACATCCGATTCAAATACATTGGAGATATGTAACAATAACAAAACTGACAAAGAAGTCACATCAACTAGTAATTCAAAGATAAGCTTAGAAGATGTTTCCAATACTCAAGAAAATTCTAATTCTATTGAGGAATCTAATGGTAATATTATATTATTAAGTACATCTAGTCCAACGCCAATATTTTCTATTGGACCATTTCCTGTGACTAGAAATAATTCACCCCCCAATCAACTTTTTACACCAGCCTTAAAAAATGCTTTTAATGAAATAAACTCAACAACAGATAATACACCTGTAACAAATATAAACAAAGATGAATCATTGGACTCGAAAGATTCTAAGAACGTGCTAAAAGAATCAAAATCAAAGTCAGATTTGACTACTAACACACCTGAACAAGTATTGACTGCGCGAGCTGACAGATTAAAACGTTTGGAAGAACAAGCCCAGTGGTTAATGAACAAAATGAATGCTACTAGTAGAAGAGGTTCTGCTCTTAGTACGAGGTTGGAAGCTCTTCATGAAACTTATGGTGAACCATCGGCTCCGGTTCCGGACGTTCTGCAAAATCCAAATTTAACATCATCTTCTTTGTCTACTCTTTCTCAAGTATTTATTGATTCACAATCAAATTAATATAATAAATAAATAAATTAATTAATTAATTAATTAATTAATTAAATGATATTGTTTGCAGGAGGCTACCACGTCATCAAATACTACAGATAATGTCCAAACGTTAAATGAAGATAAAGATATTGATGATACATCGGCCGATGATAAAACATCGTCATCATAAATTCTGTAAACAAATATAGAGTATACAAATTATTATTACTTTACTCTATTGTTTATAATTTTGTAATCTATTTTTTACCAATGCTAGTATTAAGCATTATTAGGATTATTATATATTATCTATTGTTTCTATTTATAAATAAGAATGAAATGTACAGAGATTTATTCAAATGTAATGTCACCAAAGATGTATCGTGATCTAACAACAGTTACAATAAATATAATAAAGTATTGTTTCAATATTTCTTTGATAAATATATTTAGAGTATAAAAAGAAAAGTAATAAATAAAATAATCAAACTATTGTAAGATCTTTCCTATACCGTATTTGTATCTCTAAAGTTATAGTATCAAATGCCAATATAATCGAGATGTTCCTGACGTCACTCATCTCATAGTATTTTTATATCGTGATATTAATAACGGCTAGAGTTTAGAGACCGAAAAACATCGAACTTACAATTTGTTCAATATTTTTCACAATAATTCTAATACAAGCAAAAACTTATTCACGTAAATATATAAATAATGATTTCTTTATCCTACAATTATTATACTACTCTGATCTAATTGATATGATTATATATTTCTAACTTCCTAATCAAATATGATTAGAAAAAGAAAACAAAACACAATTATTCGTGTTCTATATTTACAATAAAAATATCCATTTCTAATGCATAAATTTAAATACAATTTTTTATCCATTTCATTTTCTAAGAATAATATTTAATCAAAATATGGCCCTGAATAATATGAAACAAAAATTAAAAGTTACCAAAATGTTCATGATAAATCCTTAGAATATCTATGAAAGTCTTATTCCATTTAAATTGCAGACAATCGATAGTTATTTTTGAATATCCAATCCAATAAGATAAAACGGAAGGAAACTATAAAGGAATCCGGTAGTAGATACACAAGATGATAATAGAAAAGCTTGTGTGTATGCGTGTCGTCGTTTTTCTCTTATAGACATTGCTGCAATGTCTTACGTTGGTCCTCTTGATCCTCCTCATCGTCTTCGTCGTCGTCGTCGTCGTCGTCGTCGTATAGTGATCGTAACGGTGGCAAAACCGCTGTCGAAAAATTCAAAAATAGCTGCGGCGTGTTAGTCAGTGTGACGATGTCGACGGGGAACGACGGTTCGACGGTAAGATTCGGTCGGTGGTGTTGGTGCTGGCGAAGAAGAAGGCGGAATAGCATCGGTTCGAGCTCCTCCCTATTTTTTCCCTCTTTTATATCCTTAAAAACGATGTTAACCACTTTGACCGTCTTCCTTGCAATAACGGCCTCGATTGGTCGCGTCGACGCCGCCTCAAGGACGAAACAAGACGATTCTTCTTCAGGGTCTCGGGGTGGTGGTAGGACCTTTGGTGTTAGCAAGGACGGGGAATCTGTGATCGAAGAAGTCACTGCCAAACAACTCGAAAGAATCCTTAACGAAAAGGATTTTGTTGCTGTGTTTTGGTGTAAGCCTAATCAACAACTATTGGTTTTTTTTTTGTCCAACTATATATACTATATATACTATATACCATTCTCAATACATATTTAAATGAGTGTCTAGAGAATAAAGTACTATGTTATATTTCATTCAATTATTTTCATTATTATATTTTGTTACTTTCAAGTGGATTATTCATTATTTACTAGCTGATGAAGATGCCGTATGTTACACCATTTGATTTTAATCATTGTTTTAGCGAATAATTAATTGTTTTTGTTTTTTTGTTTGAATTTCTATTAGGTCGCATTTTATTTGACAAAATAAAAGAATAGATGCATTTCTATATTCCAATTAATTAGATTAATTCTTACGTTTACTTAGAATAAGGCCATGCCGTTGTCTAGTAAACTACATCGAATGATCATTCATCGCTCGTAATCATGAACATAACACACGAGTCTGTATAATACTGTTGTGCAGGATAGCGATGCGCTGACGTAAACGATAGGAAGAGAATTTATTGGAAGGTTTTCAAGAATATTATACTCTTCTCTTCGTATCTTATTGCATAAACGTTAACGTAATCGTAATTACATTGTTACGAATACAAGCTAAAAACATTATGTAGGGGGGGGGGCGGAAAGTAGAATCTTGTCTTGTCTTTTACACACATATATTACGTTCTAGCATGCATACACGTAATATACATTAACAGAGGAACAATCTGCTCGGTGGTTGCAAACACATTAAACACATATATCAATATGATGATAATGTCGGGAAGGTGTACGAATAATTTTGATCCATCTTACAAAACTTATTTAAAACTTATTCTAATGAAAAAGGAATCCGCCAGGTCGATTCTACTTATAGGTAGTAGATAGATAGACTGGTGATCATGTTACATTGTATTAACTGTTGTTATTTTTCTTTTCTTTATACCAAAGTAATATTGCTTAGCTTATAACTTTTTTCTATTAATAAAAATATAGTAATCAAGAGTTATGTTATTAAGCCACGTGGACATTTGCATGTGACTTTTAATAAAATTATTAATAAAATTACTTTTTTTTTTTTTTTTT